ACGCTCCGTCCGTCCAAGGAGGGGTTGTAGTTATCGGCGCGATTCTTCCTCACATACCCTAGGAGAGGCGTAGGAGGGCCACCCAGCGTGCAGGCTAGGAGGCGGAGCGAAGCCACCTGCCTACGGACAGACAGGCAGTTCCACCCCACAGCTCCGAGAAGTTCCGGGGTGCCAATGTCCCTGTATTGCCTTAGCTGCGGCGGCGATTGGCGACGCAGGATAGCATAGGCCGCGCGCCGTTGCACACTCTCCAGCGAGGCAATTGCGGCGACCTGTCTAGGGCTCCACACCGACGAGCAGAACTCAAGCTGCGGGAGCACTAGTGCGGTGTACAAACTACTAAGCTGACACTCCTAGACACTGACACGTGGCGGAAGATAGGGAAGCCCACCTTGCAAAAATGCGACTACAACCTCTTCTGCTTCAACCAGAAGAAAATCACGGTCCAGGGACGGTGCTTGCTTCAGGTCACGCTTGGAAAACGCTCCGAAGAGCTAGAAGCATTGGTGACTGACAAGCGACACACCAACCTGCAAGAACGTGGATACACAGGCTGCAGATCGACCTCAACAAATTGTTTATTCGATCTGTAGAACTGGAAGTAGAAGCCTCACTTCAGACAATGTTGGCAACATTTCCGACCTTGTTCTCCGGCGACTTGGGCTGTTGCACTAAACTCAAGGTCCAACTTCAGTTCAAGCCTGACGCGAAACCAAAGTTCTTCAAGCCCCGCCCAATACCGTTTGCTACGCGAGAAGCAGAAGAGAAAGACTTGGCCAAGCAAGTCAAGAACAGCGTTCTCACACCCGTGGACTTCTCGCAGTGGGCCACTCCAATTGTGGTCGTCCCAAAGTCGGATGGATCGGTTCGAGTCTGTGGTGACTTCAGTGTCACTGTAAATCCTCAGCTAGACATAACCCAGTACCCACTGCCACGTCCAGAAGAATTTTTCGCTAAACTAAATGGAGGCAACAAATTCACGAAGCTGGACTTGTCAGAAGCGTATCTCCAGCTGGAACTCGATGAAGAGGCAAAAACGGCTCTCGTGATCAACACGCACAAAGGTCTGTCTCGATTCAACCGGATGCCGTTTGGAGTCGCCTCCGATCCAGCAGTGTTCCAGCGCACGATGGACCAGGTAACTGCAGGGCTCGAAGGCGTTGCCTGTTACCTCGATGATATCATCGTCACTGGGAGAGATACTCCTGAACACCTCAAAAATCTTCAACAAGTGCTCCAGCGGCTAGAGGAATACGGCTTCACGCTCAAGAGGGAAAAATGCGCCTTTCTTCAAGAAAAGGTCGAGTACCTCGGGCAAGTCGTTTCCGCCGATGGCTTCACGCCTTCCATGAAAAAGGTCTCGGCTATCCTGAATATGCCAGAGCCCAAGAACATCAGCCAGCTAAGACCTCTCCTCGGCATGGTGCAGCATTACGGCAAGTTCCTTCCGAACCTTGCTGACAAATGTGCGCCACTTAACAAGCTACTGAGAAAAGACACCGCCTGGCAATGGAGCTCCGAGTGCGTAGATGCGTTTGAAAACATAAAACAACAGCTGACGGCTACGGAGGTTCTAGTCCACTTCAACCCTGATCTGCCAATTTACCTCGCGGCGGATGCATCGTCAGAAGGCGTGGGCGCGGTGATATATCACAAGATCAATGGCAAGGAACGCCCCATAGCACATGCTTCTAAGACACTGAATTCGTCAGAGTGTGCTTATGCACAAATAGAGAAGGAAGCACTTGCCATCATCTTTGGAGTCCGCAAATTTCACCAGTACCTTTGGGGACGCAAGTTTGTGCTCTATACTGACCACAAACCTCTGACAACCATATTTGGCCCCATGAAGGGAATCCCCGTGACATCGGCAAACAGACTCCAGCGTTGGGCCCTTATACTAATGAACTACAGCTACACAATTGAGTACGTGCCAACAGCAAACTTCGGAAACGCTGATGGACTTTCGCGTTTCGCACAAGGTCCCGACGAGGACTTCGACAAGGAAATGGCAAGCGGAGTTTTCACCATCTCCTGTGATACAGAACATGTCTTTGCGCTTCACACCCAGAGTTTGTCTAAGTTACCAGTGAAGGCAAAGGACATTGCCACGGAAACTGCGTCAGATTCTGTCCTCTCCCAAGTACAACGGTACATCAGTGAGGGCTGGCCAGAAAAGGGGACGGACTCCGACCTCACGCCATTCCATAGACAGAGATCGGAATTAGCCATCCTCAACGGTTGCATCCTATGGAATTCGCGAACCGTAGTTCCACGCAAATTCCAGCACCAAGTAATGGAACTTCTTCATGAAGGACACGTGGGTCAAACAAAAATGAAGATGTTGGCACGGTCGTACGTGTGGTGGCCACACATCGACAGAGACATTGAGCGCACGACGCAGCAATGTGAGGTCTGCAGCAGTGTTTGCGACAACAAACCACACGTTTCTCTTCACCGCTGGGAAGCTCCGGAACTGCCGTGGCAGAGACTTCATGCT